TAATTTTTTAGAAGTTTTCAACTTTTTTTAAGGAAAGAATAACAACTAGAGTTTTGATTATTTTATTTCTAAAAATCTGTAAGTGATTTCATGGAATATTACTCAATGGCATCAAGAACATGGAGAATCTGTAAGCAGGTATTTTCTGAGACATTTAGAATCAACGTGACAGCCCAGCATTTATTTCTCTACTTCCAAAAGAACAGACCACCTAAGTTGAAGAGACTGAGGGGGAAAAAAAAGAAAAAAGAACCTGATAACAAATCACACCCCTAAAATTGAAAGGCAAAAAAAATGTAGAGAAATGAAGTTAGGGTGAGTCCACAAGGAGGTCTTTCTAGGAAGAAAGGGGAATGGCGAAGTACAAGGAGGTCATGAGGCTTATTTAGCACCTTAAAAAACAAAACAAAACAAAAAAAACCCACAACCAAAAAACCCCCACTCATTAAATTTAAAGATCTGGGGTTGCAAAAACAGTTTTTGTTACTGAAAGGATACCTTTTATAGTTTTTTTTTTTAAATTCAAGAAGATTTACAATATTACTTTGTTTCCTGAAGGTTTTTTTCCTGTTCTTTGATTTTACAGTGAGTGTTACCAAAAGACATCTAAACAAATGTAAAAATTAAGGTGTCATTTAAATGTGACCAAACAGCTGGGAATTTTAGGCTTATTTTAATTTCTTTGGGTTATTTTGTAAGAAATGTTCTACTGTCTAATCATTTTGACTTTTAAATCAAACAAATTTCTCATCAGCATTGTTAGTAACTACACTGGTTCTTAAATGCACTGTTTACTCAACCCCACTGTACTCAGCAGCTGCCAATTCAGCCTATCCCAACCCACCTCCTGTGGTCATACCACACTCCATGCTCACTAACCACAACAGCCACTCCCAGAAGAACTGTGAAATTAGAAAACAAAACGTCTGTCTATAATTCTCAGTGAACTGCTTTTATGCAAATAAAACAAGGTGTTAAAATAAGCAACAAATGCTGAGGACAGCCCCAAATTGGAGGTAAGTTAGAAAACATACAAGAAAACACCTAATAATGAAAAGATTGATGCAAGTGCCTTCTTTAACTAGTTGGGAGTATAGTAAGTTCTCACTTAACATCATGGCTAGTTCTGGAAACAGCAATTTTATGTTAAACAACAACTAACCTATTTTACTATACAGACTAATCGATATAAACAAAAGTTAAGTTTCTGTGGAACATTTCTGGTCACAAAAACATCACCAGACTATTAAATAAAGGCCACAAATAATTTCAATATTCAACGATCATTTGTATTCATTCATTCATTCATTCATTCATTCATTTTCCAACCCGTTATTCCAGATCAGCGTCATTGGTGACGCTTCCCTGAAACCCAGGCAGAAGGTGGGGACCCATCGTGACAAGTCATCCTTCTGTTGCAGAGCACACTCTCAGACTGGGACAAATGACAAGTCAGTGACCCTCATGTGGGGAGAAAATGGAGCACCTGGAGAGAAGCCACACAGACACGGAGAGAATGTGCAAACTTCACACAGTCAGCGGCCCCGTCCAGGAACAATTATTTTTTCCTCATCAACATTATAATGAAATGATGTTGAATGAAATGATATTAATCAAGAGTATTGGGCAAGGAAGCCACTTAAATTTCAAATGCTCAGTTTCCTCACCTGGAAAACAAGCATTTTGAACCTGATGATCCATAAGTTCTCTTTTAGCTATAATTTTTTTTGATTCAATAGAATAAAACAAAAATGAGAAAAAATCCTAAAAAATTAAATAAAAGCAAGAGGCAGTGGCGGTGGATGTGTATGTGTGTGTGTGTGTGTGTGTACTTTGCATCTAACCTCCCGTCTATCTTCTCCCCTCCTCCAAGTGTGTGAGCAGACAGGATCTCCCAGCATGACTCACTTGCTGCAATCTAATTCAAGTAGCTTATGAAATTCTATACAATCCATTCTTGAAGAACAGATTTGGAGAGGAAGACTTAGAATGCTTGAAAACAAAAATTCCACTTGTTAAAACAAATAGACTCAAATAACTTATGTGACTGCTTATCACATTCTCTAAACCTGCTGCTTAAGCACAGGAAATATCCTCTCAACTAAACATTTGCCTCATATATGATGTAAACTTATTTAATTTGGGATATTTAAATTTTTTACTGTAGAACCTACGACAATATATTTGCCCCCCAAAAAACAAAGAGGATATACATTCCTAAAGGATTATTTCACTAAAATTGCTTAAAAATAATAAGATAATTCAACAAAAAAAGTGAAATGGGTCATAATCTTCACTGTTAATGGATTCAATGCAGTATCACAGGCCAGCTAAGGGATTAGCCTCCATTTCCAAATATGAATCAAGATGCAGAGAGGGAAAAAAAAAAAGAGCTGCTTTATAGCAGTTGGTTAAATAATGAGCAATAAAATCATAAATCTGAATGACTCATATCAATGCAATCTGACCAAGGAAAAGATAATTTCAATTCAATGTTTTTTATATTGTGAAAAGAAGAAAATGACTTTTTAAAATGTCTATGACAAAGCATAGTAAACACACAAAACATTCCCTTATTAAACTGCTCATATATTATAAATCACAATGCAGGTTTTGGCTTATCTAGCAGGTATTACCATAAGATATCGATGAAAGTATTTCAACTGTGATCTTTCCTCAAGCATCCATCTATATAAAATGTGGCAGACATCTGAAGTCTTGAAATTACATTAGTTAATTGACAGTAATTATTATAAATGAAGTATGCTTATCAGATAAGGAGCCCCAACTCTAAAGTCAAATTTACAATTTGAGAATTGACACATTCAGGCTAGTGTTAAGCAGCTGAGGTATAAAAGATAAATGTGAATAATATTTTATTAGTAAAGATTGTATAACATCTTTCAAACTTGGAAGAAGCAGAGGCAACTGTAAAATGGGCTACAGCCAAAACAGTATTAGAACAAACCCTGAAGGCTCTACCTTTAATGTCCAATAAGCTTATATGGATCACTGATGAAAGCTGTGCTGGCGATGTACAGCAAGGCAATGTTAAAAGTTGGTACTTGACACCTAATGATGCTTAAAACTGACATAACAGATACATTTATTCTGTGACACACTTCTCAGAAATGCTGCCATTGATTTGCATTCTTGCAATTATGTTTTTTCTGATTCCATTTCCACCAGGTAAATGGTGATGGGTAAGGCATGTACAATCTCCAGTTGTGATACACTTTCCTCATGTAGACCCTAAACCACATACATACCTCTCATATCCGCAGTTTTAGGCAAAGTTTCCCAAGAAATACAATAATATAATAATAGGCCACCCTTCAAATCATAGGAAAAAAAAGACAAAAAATAATTTTCCAAGAAAGAATGCTTGTATAAATTTGCTTAATTCTTTACAATCTGTTATTTTCCAGTCTGCCTGTATTTTTCTTGGACACATTTTTTTGCTCATTGATCCCTATGTATTAACTCCTAAAAGCTATCAGTCACGGTTATTAGTGTTAAGTTGCCTATAAGATGACCTCCAAAGATCCTTAAGTCTTGAGACTGTGTAGTCATCTCCCCAGACTTGGGATTGGATTTACTGATCACATGAAACAAATAAAACATGGCAGCAGTAATGGGATATCACTTCTGAGATATCTTGGTTGTTCTCTGACAGGTTGTTCACCCTACACAAAGTCAGCTACCGCACTGTGAGGTAGGTCTACTGAGAAGCTCATCTGTTGGAGAACCCAGGCCTGACAACAACCATGTAAGTGCACTTGAAGTAGATCCTCTTCTGCTTCAGTGTAATTGTCAGATGAGATCAGAGCCTCCAAGTACAGCTGGACTACAACTCCCTGAAACAACCCCACCGAGGCAAAGGCACTCTGCTAAGCTGTACCCAAATTTCTGAGACACAGAAAATGTGAAATAATAAATATTTGCTGTTTTAAGTTGCTAAATCTTGAGGTAATGTGTTACTCAACAATATATAACTAATACAGTATTTCATCAAACTGTGACGTTAACTAGATAAAATTAGGAAGTTTCTGATACAAAACCGAAAAACAGGAAAGAATTATTTCTTCATTTTGAGATTTGCTCAATTTCGTGAAACATCTTCCGAGGAGGAAAAAACCCCTCCTCTCTCAGAAATAGGGATACCAAACACCAGACAGTAAAAGAAGGGAAGGAGAGCTGAAATGTATTAAGTAGATTAGTTTCACTTTGCTGTCAGACTAATGATGACATATTGCTTTGGACAGGAACAACCAGATTCCTTGAAAAAAAAAATTCCATTTGTTAAAAACCAGACTCAACTACTAACTTATTTAAACAAATACAAAATCTGAAAACAAACCTAAAAAAAAAAAAAAGATTAAGAGTTGGAATTCACTATGCGATTTTATCCAATCAGTAAAATTTAATGGAGCACCCACCATGCAAAGAACTAGAATATCCTGTTACAGTGAGACAAGAGACAACTGATGAAGAACTTGCCAATTCTATAGCCAAAGTCTGACGGCTAAATCACCTGGCGATTCATCGTGACCTTTAACTGTGTTTGCATTTTTATTACTGGAAAGTATGTAAAGAACCGAAATCTTTGCCTATGCACCAAAATAACACTCGAATTACCTAAAAAGCAACACTTGGCCAAAAGAGAGCAATCCTTGCCTTTCCTCGGCTTCATGGCTGAAGGTAGCCAGATCATACCGGGGTCCCGAGCTCACCTACACCCCAATAGCCTAGACACCCCAGGAACACACCCCCTCCCGCCTCCGGACACTGACTCCCCATTTCATAAGCCGCCACCGCTTTCACTCAACATGCTTCGCGCTGCCATTGGCCCTAAAGTCTTGCTGGTTGGCAAGTTTCTGCCAACTGGCGAGCACCGCTTAGCTCTATTTCCGAGAGGAAAAGTGGGGGTGCAGAGGGAAAGTGGGGGTGTAGAGGGAGAAGAGGCAAGAGCTCTGAAATAGCCCGGCCGACGCCTGTACCTGCGCGACCTGCGATCCCCACCGCCGCCGCGACGAATCGGCCTCTGGGTGGGGGCTTCAGCCAATAGGAAAATGGCTCAGCCGGGAACCGGCGCCCGGGCCATGGAGAAGCCGGTTCCGACCCACTCGTGCACGCCGCGGGCGGGGACGGAGCTGAGACGCCCGGGCGCAGCCCCAGCCCCCGGCGCACTCCGCACCTCCAGCGCAGCAGCCCGGGCCGCCGACCGTCGGACTTTTGACGTTTCCTATTGTTGCCGGAAGTGACGTTCGGGTTCTGCGCCTTAAAGAAAAAGCATTTTTGTCTCCGTCGCTCTCGATTCGCCATAGAGGCTCCTTTTCTCCCTTAGCAGCCCGGGCCCCTCGGAGCATCAACCCTACCCCCGCTGCTAGCCTGCCGCTGGCGATGCGGCCAGCCGCTGAGAACGGCTCCCGGCAGGGTCGGACTCCTCAGCGGCCCGGACGAGCCGTGTGGAGAATCTGCTGCGAGGAATCGCCGGCCGCTGGGCCGCCGGCAGCTCTGCAGGGCCGGCCGCGGCGCGTCGCGGGCTGCGACCCTCGTCGCGGATACAAACGGTCGGCGCGGGACGCGCGCGGGGCGCGGGCGGCGGCCGCTGGGACTCGGGGCTGCGGGCCGGGATCGCGGGCCTCCCCGGGGCTTGCAGGTGCGGCCCCCCTTTTCCTTGGTCGTGCGGGGTCAGAGGCTTTCAGAACCCGCTGCTTTGCTCGGCGGCTGCGGGGTGCGCCCAGGAGAGCGGGGGGCTGCGCCCCAGGGCGGTGCAGGGATAGGAGCCCTTATTACCTTCCCTGCATGCCCAGGGCATACACCCTTTTATTTTATTTTATTTTATTTTATTTTATTTTATTTTATTTTAGTCAGAGAAGATATAGATGTTTTTATTGCCTTTTTAATAGCTTTTATAAATAGCAAGCACTATTCAGGGGTTTATTTAGTTTTCAAAATGTTATGACTTTTTAAATTTTTTTTAATTTTATTTTTGTGTTCCCCATACAATTGCAGCCCCCTTATTTTGACCCCAATCCCTCCTTTCCCCGCCTCTGTGACTTTTTTATCTTCACATTCAAAGTCTTAATTCATAATGCTTGCAGAGATGATTGTTCTATAAGCCTAGGAGATTTTTATTTATTTTTTTAAACACTATTTGCGTGCCCCCACCCCCTCAGGCGGAGTCCCCATAGAGTTTCCTTCCCCAAAGCACCCGTGCACCATCACCTCAGTCCCCTATGCTCCTCCCTCCCTCCCTCTGATCCCTCTCCCTCCTCCTCCCCTGCAGGATGTCTCTGATTTGTAATTGTCTGTTTTTGCTTTGTTGTGTTTTGTGCTGTTTTTATTTTTTTACACCGATGTCTTATTTGGGTCCCCTATATTCCTGTTATAAGTGAAACAATCCGCTATTTTCCTTTTTCCTTCTGGCTTATTTCACTGAGCATAATTCTTTCTAGATCCACCCACGTTGCTGTGAATGGCATGAGTTTATCTTTTTTGATTGCGGAATAATACATCCTTTTGCTAACAACGAAGAGGGAAGAGTCCTGGCAGCTCTTCCTCTCTGATTCGCTTATGTCTTTAGGTTGCAAAGTTTATCGGCTGATTCCTCCTATTGGATCCGAGGAACCATCTGCTTTTCTGAAGTATCGCCTAGAAGGAAGAAATGAAAAATAGATCACGTTTGATTTCTCTGATGTTTCAAATATTTCACCACCGTCCTAGAGGGCTAGATTTTTCCCTCCTTAGGGAAGAAATTAACCCCGAAATTGATTCTGGAATTATGGCTACACTAGGTTCTTTTTCTAAAATCAGCCACATTTATATGTGAACACAGCAGCTTCCCTGAGTTCTGTATTTTTTCCTTACTCCCTCCCCTCCGCTCCTCCTATTTTCTCAAGTTTTCCCTTTCCGATACCATTCTCCTTATTTATTAGAGCGGGTTTCCGTGTTATCTCCCTCCTCCTCCCCTGCAGGATGTCTCTGATTTGTAATTGAGAGGAGAGGAGGGACTTTTGGAAACTTGATTTTCCTAATCACTCCACTTCCTTTTTATTTTTGATGCACGGTGTTTAGATAATATCTGTTGTTGTGAACTATGTCACAAATTTAGTCATCTACCATAGTAGATGAGTTTAGGTGCTTCATTCCAAACAATATTCTTAACCGCATTCAGTGGCATTCTGTTGGGAGGATCTTTTCATGACATCTAACAGCATTGAGAAAAACCTTAAGCCGCCATGGTGCACCGCTTTCGCCACGCCTCCCCTAGTAAATTAAGTTGGACAGAGCACTCTCTGGAGGAAACCTGCGAGCAATACTGAGAACTTCTTAATGGTTGGAATATATGTTACTCCTTTTAATTTACCTTGATGAGTAATGAACCACCTCTTAATTTACTTTGATAAGGATTGTAAAATTAAAATGTCAACCAGTTTTTAAAATAACAAATTTTTCATCTCCAAATACCATGTTAAAATATGTATCTTGTGCATGAAAATGTAGAGGGGTAGCTGTAATTTTTTTCTGTAATTCTCACTTTTTAAAAATTCCTTTATTTTCTATACTTTTTTTTATCACTTATCTCCTTCACCTACAGATCCAAGCTGTACTTGTCTCTTACTCTTCTTCAAAATATTTATTCTGCTGGTACTGAAGAGGATGTGTTCCAGGGACATACTTTGTTGTCAGAAATTCCATTATCAGAGGTAGAAATGATATGAGATATTGATAATATCTATTTCAGGATTTAAAAGAAGGTGGAAAGATACCATAAAACGTTAAATGGTACAAAATTATATGTGCTGAAAATATGGACTCTCCATCTGGGGGGAATTAAAGTCTGGGGAAAGAGACAATTTGTTTTAAAGTTATAGAATGACTGGGTGGGGAGGGAGCCACTAGAATTGTGGGTTTGGAACGTAGAACAAGCTTAGACCTACTTGTTGTATTAACCAATGTCAGCATCCAAGAATAAGTTTTTTTCAGTTACAGCCAAATTAGTTACTATTTCATCTTTCCCAGGAAAGTGAAGGCTATTCTTGGAAGTTATTTCTCTTATTGCTTCTGTTTGCTCATTTACCACCAAGTTGTCCTAAAAAAAGATGTTAAATGAAGGTTACCTTGCCCTCTATTTTGTATAATGTGATTTCAGGGTATCTTTCTCTTTTTCTGACTATCTCCCATTTAATAGTACCTAAAGTTGTCTCTGCCTAAAAAATGTAAATGTTTAGTAGGCATAATGAGTTGACTGAAAAATACTAAAACTATGCCTGAGAGTGTACATTTTCTTTATCATGTTGATGAAGGAAAGGAGATTTGGAGTAAGAAGGTACTGTGTTCCTAAGGAGGTGAAAGGTGTATAGAATTCCATGGCTTGGGCCTTAACATAGAAAGCTTAATAAGTTTAGGAATTTGCAAATTGCTAGCCTGATTTATCTCAGGTTATGTGTCAACACAGAGGTGTAAGGAGTCCTGGGCAACTGCTGGAATTTTTAGTAGTGGGAAAAGATCAGACTAACTCATCTGATTTCTAAAATGTGCTGTTGTCTTTTTAATCACAGTGACTTCATTTCAAAGAAGGTTCATTCCCAGAGGGTCCATTATTTAAGGTATTGTTATATATTTTCTTCTATGAAGTTTCTATGGGCAGTTAAAGGAGATATGTTTAAATGTACTGTTGAGCTTTGCCATTTTGGCCGATTAGATTTATAACACAGAAGCGTTTTATCTCCATCTGGCAAATGATTTTAACTATTTACCTTTCTATTTATTTTATAAACCTCCTTTGGGAATAGCATTCTCTGAGAATTTAATGAAAGTCCTACATGCTGTAACATGAGTCATTTAAAATATAATTCCATGGTATTATGTTGAGATTTTAAATAATTTAAACATTGTATTTGAAATCTCAAGTTGTGTTCATTAATTTGGTATGTATTTATGTATGCATATTTGCATTATGTATTTTTTTTTTTTTTGAGTCCTAATCCTGTTTCGCAAGCTCCTTGTATATTAGCTTTAAAACATACAACCAATAAATTTTCCCAAGCAATTGTTAATAGTTCACCCTTTCATTGCCCTGGGTGAGTTTCAGGTGCTCTGCAGTCTCACATTTTTTATCAACTTTTAACTTTCTAATAATTACACTATTTGAGTATCTTTTCACATGTTTACTTTTTTGTAAAGCTCTTGTTCAGATCTTTTTCCTGTTTTTCTGTTGTCTTCTGTTTTCTGACGGCTTTGTAGGAAGTAACTTAGATATGAATTTTTGTGAGTTATATGTATTGCAGCAGCAGCATCTGCTCATTGGCTTATCATTCTCTTCTCTTTTGATGAACAGAAGTTCCTAATTTTAATGTGATTTATCACTCCTAAGATATTTTTCTTTACCTGAAGATCATAAAGAGATTCTCCTCTGGGATCTCCAGAAAGCCTGATTACTTTACATTTCACATATAGTTCCTCAACAAACCTGGAATTAATTTTGCGAAGGCTGTGATGTCTCCTTTAGATCAAGGTGTCAAGATTTATTTATTACATCTGGATATTTGATTGCCACAGTACCACTAGGAAAAGACCATCCATTCTTCACAGCTACTCAGCAACAACTTTGTCATGAGTCTAGTGTCATTATGTGCATGGTCTGTATCTAGACTCTATTCTATTCCAGTGTTCTATTTGTATGTCTTTTCACTAATTCCAAATTTAGCTTGGTAATGTGTCTTTATGCCTTAATAGTTAAGTCCTTCAATTTTTATCTTGAAGATAGTGTTAGTTATCCTTTATCTCTTTCATTTCTATATAAATTTTACAATCAGGTTGTTAGTTTTCTCCTAAAAATTCTCCTGCAGGGATTTTTTTTTTTTAGGGGGTGAAGGGGATGGATTAAATCTCTCAATCAATTTATTTAGTCATCTATGCCTTGATCAAGATGTATACCTCCTTCAATTTAGGACTACTTTAATAATTGATAAAAGTTTACAGTTTTCTGTTTGAGGCCTTTTACACTTTTTTCTATGTTTATTCACATGTTTATAATATGTATTGATGCTATAGTGAATTATTTATACATGCATAATTTTAAAACATTTTCTAATGATTTGGAAATACAGAGAAAACAATTTTTGTATATTGGCTTCTATCCAGAGCAGCCTTGCTAACTTTCTTTTGGATATTTTCATAAACAGTTATGTCATCTGTGAAAAATGACATTATTTTCTTCCTTTTTGGCTTTCATTCCTCTTATATCTTTTTCTTGTGTTTTTGTGCTACCTCGGACCCCAAGTACAATGTTGACTAGAAATGATGAGAGTAGGTAATTTTACCTCATTCTCATCGTAATAAGAAAAGTTGCTGTTTTTCACCATTAAATATGGTGTTTGCATCAGATTTTTTACAGATAGCCTTTGTCAGTGCAAGCAGCTCCCTTCTCTTCCTGATACCCTGAGAAATATATTATGAATGAATGTGGAATTTTATCAAGTGCTTTCTGCATGTATTCAAATGACTAAGATTTTTTTCTCCTTTTTCAATCTATTAAATTATATTGATTGATTTTTTTTGTCTTAGATGTTGTGTTATAATCCAATATTACTTTATTAGTTTTGTTTAAATTTTTTGGCTTTGACTGTGGGGAGATGTTTCATTTGACTCCTGTGTCCCTTTGACACTTGTGGAATCACTGTGGGATAGGTTTGTTTGTTTTTGTGCGTGTACTTGCTTGCCTTCTTGAACTACACAGTGCTTCAGATTAATCTTGCGTATTGCCTGCTTTGGTCTTAGAATTGTCCATAGCTCCAAGGAGCCCTGTTGTTGTTTTTTTAATTAGAGAATAACATTACACACCAAGATCTGAATGCTAGCATGCTCTTTACTGCTGAGGTGTAATTGCTTTTAGTTATTTTCAGCTGACAGAAAATACGAGTCTGTATTCTAAGATATCTGCATATACAGACATACGTATAAATATTTCAATATGACATATATTAAACTACACATGAGTTCATGCTGATGTCTCTAACTAACCAATTAGACATGGGTCATTGTGCTCTCCTGCCCTTTCTTGTCTGTAAACTCTCATTCCAGCAGTGAGAAACTTGGCTCCTACTATTCAGCCATCTCTGTATTTGTTTAATTTCAGTATAGATGTATAGAAGTATCAGAATTAACTCGTTTGCAAGTGAGATGCAGAATGACAATGTCTAGTTCATACCATGCAGTTGATTTTACCTTTCATGTCACAGGCTCCGCTCATTTCCCAAGTTACTTAGTCATCATCTTTTCAACCTATTCCCTTTTATGAGACTGCTTCACACTTAGATTCTTCGTCACAGTCTGCATTCCTCCTGGAGATTGCCCAGCTTCCTAAATGATTATTTTAAATTTGCATGCATTAAGGTTCACTCTCTATACTGTACAATTCTGTATGTTTTGACAAATGCATAATTTCATACTCTGCCATTACAGTATTAGATTATTTCACCTCTCTAAGAACTTCCCCTGTACTACCTGTTCAAACCGTCTCTTTTCCTTCTCAGAAACCTTAACAGCCACTGATCTTTATAATTTTTATTGTCTCTACAGTTTTGCCTTTTCCAGAATGTCATGTAAGTAAAATCATATGTATGTGTAGCACTTATAAACTTTTTTTTTTTCATTTAGCAATATGCATTACCTTCCCTCCATGTCTTTATATGGCCTTACAGCACTTACTTGTTTTATTACTGAATAATATTCCATTGTATGGATGTACCACAGATTTCACTCATTCACTTTTTCAGGGACATCTTGATTGATTTTAGTTTTTGATGGTTATGAATAGAGCTGCTGTAAACATCCCTGTAATATCTTGTATGTATATAAGTTTTTAAGTCAACTGGGTAAATACTTACCAGCACAATTGCTGATTATCTCTTAAGACTATGTCTGGCTTTGTAAGAATTTACCAAACTGTCTTCCGAAATGGCTAAACCATTTGCATTCCCACGATCAATAAATGAGAATTCCTGTTGTTCATAGTCCTCATAAGCATTTGGTAGCATTGTTTTTTGTTGTTTTTTTTTTTGGTTTTTTTTTTTTTTGGATTCTGGCCATTTGGCTCTAGCCACTATCGGTGTGTAGTAGTATTATTATTGTTGTTTGCTCTTTTTTAATTTGCAATTACCTAATGGCATATTGTGGAACATCTTTTATTATATGCTTATTTGCCATCTGTATCTCTTTGATGAGATGGATGTTCAGATATTTTGCAAATTTCTTAATTGGCTTGTTTGTTTTCTTACTCTTAAATTTAAGTTCTTGTGTATTTTGGCAACAGTCTTTTATCCAGCATGTGTTTTGTAAATATTCTTTCCTAGTCTGTGGCCTGTCTTTTTAGTCTCTTAACAGTGTCTTTTGAGGAACAGAGGATTTTAATAAAATCCAACTTATTTTTTTATTGCATGTAAAAAATGTACATGCAGAAACCCAGGGAAGCAGAGAGGTAGTTGCTTAGCTGAGGGACTTATGTTTGCGTGGGGTAGGGGTGGGGTGGAGAAAGTGAAAAATCTACGGTTTAGGACCTCCATGTATGGATTTTCAAATAATCATTCTTATTTCAACCTCTTGGCCTAACGCTATAGCCTTATCAAAAGTATTGGACATCCTCATTTCTGAACCTATATCCAGCTCTTTCTTCCTGAACAGACAGATGGAATTGACTGCCTTTTCTGCTCTACTAGTTTGCTTATTACCACCCACCTATCTGCTTTCTATATTCTAAATTTTGTTGATACCTCTTCTGTCATTTGGAGTTCATTTTAGTTCCCTGGTCATTATATATATGCTTGTTAATCAATTAGTTTCATATTAGTGGTGTTTAGAAAAGGACATGAAAGCATCATGTATTAAATACCAGCCATATTTAAGTAGCTGAACCTGAATTTCTTTTAACTTGCCAATTTTTATTTTTTAAGCAAAATATCTGATTGGTAAACTACGTGAGGTCAGAGTCCTCAGAATAATGAATAAGTTTGTACTTTGTCTCCTTTTTTAAACTAATTTTAGTATAACCTATATAAACATCCAAAATAGTCATTGAGGGAGATTATTTGGGGTTGGAGTGATGTGACTTCCCAAATGGTACTTTGTTGTTCAAAATAATGTATTGGAGCAGGTGTCACTTGTAAGAATATAAACAAGGCAAGTCTGTTTTTTGCTGTGGAAAAGACATTGGGGGAAAAAGCACACCTGACATTCAAGAACATAGAGTAGATGCAAGATAGTATTAGTTGGAAAAGGAAGAGATAAGCCAGGGGGGGAAAGCTGGGGTAAGATAAATAAGGTAAGTGCCTGTAGGAGACACAGCAAAACTGTGTAGACTTACTCAGTGTTTCATGGATTTTTATGTTTAGGTGAAAAGATTATTTTAAAAGCTGATGCTGTATGTAATGTGAAATGATGGCAACAGGTGACTTAAAAAGAAGCTTAAGAAACCTGGAACAAGTGCTTCGCTTGCTGAATTATCCTAAAGAAGTAGATTGTGTAGGGTAAGCTATAATACCGAATTTATTTGTTTTCTTTTTGGTAATGGTTTGAGATAACATTTGACATGGAATGTCTAAAGAGATATATGGCTTTTATTGGTTTTTTTAAAGGTTTTCATTGAAATGATTAAAATATTTGAGAAAGCAGGAAATTGATGAGTTTGCTTCCAAGTATGAGTTAATGGAAAATTGCATCCCGAGTTTTCAACTGTGTTTAGTAACAGAAGCACAGTGTATATCAGTACACAACTTGGTCTCTGTAAAGCTTTTGAACTCATAGAAGTGTAACTTTATTAAGTATATAATTTGCTACCCTCTATGTTCTGTCGATGGCATTTCTTTTTGATTTGAAAGACTGTAGATAATAGCTCTTTTATTACAATTTATACCATGTTTGAAGACAGGTATTAAGTTATCTCAGTTAAAGGGCCCTCTCTGGCCCTTTCACTTCACTTTCTGAGATGATTTACTTGCTTTGTGAGTGTGGCAGCGTACATTTCTCCTGAATTCATGCCAATTGAATGTGGACTCCTGCCATCCTCTGTCTCTCATTACCTCTCTTCTTCTTACCTGGAATTATTGATTGAGTAAATAGTTCCCCACTAGAATGTAAGCTGAATTCTAGAACTTTGTTTTGTTCACTATTGTATACCATGCCTAGAATTGTGCCTGGCATACTTAGGAGCAATCAGACATTTAAGGAGTATCAAGGGACAAGTCTGATTAGGCATATATTCCAGTAAGTGGAGTGAAACTTGGTTAAACTAACGGCTGTGTAGAACCCTGGAGTAATTGGCTTTCCGTATAAGAACCAATGTGAGGCAGACAAGGAGAAAGTGGAGCTCTAATGACTGTTATTACAGGTATTACATGTGACAAGCAGAAGGTATTCCATAGTATGGTTCAATAGTATGTACCAGTCATATCTTGAATCCTCAAACAGGAAAATCTCTACCACTCAGTTTTGCCAGTTCTTAACCAGCTTAAGTAGCCAAATATTCCTCTTACTACTTTAAGTATCTTAGATGTCTGTTCAAGAGATAATTCTCTTGTCTTCCAAGTATAGTGTTTAACACAGATTTTCTTCCTGAGTCAAGCATATCATTAAAATCAGCAATTTTTCGATGACTCCTTAGCAGTAATATCTGCAGTATCCATTGAGGTAGGTAACATTCCTTGCTGTTGGTCCTTCAAATTGCTTTCCCTCCACCCTCACATACACAGACCCCACATATTTTGGTTCTTGCTACTTTTTCCCATTTTAAAATTTTTTCTTGCTATCTGCCATTTTTTGTGTTGGTTTGCCTGTTTGTAATATGTTTTTCTTATAATTTCTAATCAAAGTGCTTAGAAACTAGATTATCAAAATTGTTTGGGATTTTTGAGGTGCAATGCAGATCTGATTGTCTTCTATTTATAATGTACATAAAATGAATAGATTTTGCTATTCAAAAGGGTTTTTTGTTTTTTTTTTTTTCATTTTCTATTTTTGAAGTGTCATGCAAATAGATAAGGTTGCTAGTGTGGTTTTCTCATCAGGTAATCGTATTCATAAACATGAAAGAAACAATTTGTATTTGTTCTGAAAAATAAAACGTGCTATCATCTTAAATTTGTTCTTTGACTTATTAAGAAAAACTTGGGCAGAGGTTATGTACATGTCTTGAATTTTGGGGAAAACGAATCTTTCACATAGGAACATTTTTACTTCAGTTGAACAAATACAACTGGTTATTTCTACAAATACCTCTGTACTTTGCTGTGGGGGACTCTGAAGGTACTTCACATTCAGAAATAAGATACATGTGTATAAACAATTAGAAAACAGTGTAGGACCTCCCCGGTGGTGCAACAGGTTGAGGGCAGCACTGTGAAGTTGTCCGCAGCCTTTGCAGCACCGGTTCAATTCCCCGCCAGCCAGGGAGATATCCACATGACACAGCAGACCTCTCCTGTCTTGGGCACTGCTCCCCTCAGCAGTGTTTTCGGTCATCTGCCTATTCTGCTCCCTGCTCTGTCTCTGGTGAATTCTCTCACCCTCTCACGCCTCTGGCCTGTACCCCAGTTCTTGTATTAATAAATAAATCTTAAAAAAAAAAAAAAGAAAGAAAACAGTATAAGAGTATGAGACAGCAGATTCTGAAGATGCTGGGCATCATTTCAGGTGAGATCAGTATGGATCTGAAAGTTGAGGGTGAGGGTGGCTTCATTTCCATGAAGGCATGGGATGTGACAAATTATTCATAAAGAATGAGTAATAGTTAGATAACAAAGCACTGGATGCCTTACTGGACCGGAGGAATTAGCATAAGCTACTAAGGGCCAGATGTAGTGGACGATGGTAAACCGATCAGGCTGGTCACAGTCAATACCTTTTTCAGTCCCATCTTCCTCATCAGTAACTTAAATTTCATAATGCTTTATCTTTGTGGATTTGTGATAAAAAGCAGATGAGGTAATGTAGCAAGTGTTTTCAAAACCATGTACCTGAGTACTGTGAGGTGGTACATTTGTTTCGTGAGTAGGAAAATATGGACTAAATTGAGTAAGACTAGACTTTGGAAAATCAGTAAATACTGCAATGAAGTGACGGTCCGTATTAAACAGCTATTGTAAGCTAAGCTTTGGAAAGAACCCAAATGCCCAAAAATAGATGACTAGATCAAGAAGATGTGGTACAGGGCCTCCCCAGTGGCGCAGGCGGTTGAGCGCTGGGTTGCGAAGCTGCCCGCAGCCTCTGCAGTGCCGGTTCGATCCCCAGCTGCTCCCCGGCCATCAGAGGAGGGTCCCACATGACGCACAGACCTCTCCTGCCGCCCGCTGCTCCCCTCAGCAGTGTACTTCGGTCCTTCTGCCTGCTCTGCTCCCTACTCTGGCTCTGGTGAATTCTCTTGCCCTCCCCTGCTTCTGACTGTACCCAGGGCTTGTATAAATAAATCTTTAAAAAAAAAAAAGAAGACGACGTGGCACATATACACAATGGAATATTACTCAGCAATCAAAAAAGATAAACACATGCAATTTGCAGCAACATGGATGGAGCTGGAAGAGATCATGTTCAGCGAAATAAACCAAAAAGAAAAAGAAAAATACTGGATGGTCTCACTCATAGCAGGAATCTAGAAAACCTAAATAAGGGACCAGGAAAAAGAATAACTCTAAGAAAGAAAAAAATCAAAATCAATAAACAACTATGAACCAGAGACACACTTTGGTGGGGGGGGGGCAGGGAAAGGAGGGATTGGGATCAAAATCAGGGGGTTGCAATTGTATGGGGAAATATAAAAATAATTTAAAAAAAAAATCAATGAAACCAAAAAAAATAAAAATAATAAATAGCTATTGTAAGTTTTTGAGCTTGGACAATAGTATTTCATAGTAATTTGGCTAGGCTGATGTACTGTAAGGGATGGAATTTAGTCTTGTGCATCAGCTAATAATTACGGCTCTAATGTTAATTTATAAAGTATCAACAAGAGTTCTTACATGTCCTTGATTGTCTAACTATAGAATTATGCTCATTAGAAATCTTTTTCTTTTTTTTTCTAACAGCTTGGTTAAAGGAGACACAGCAGCGTCTTTGCCCATCATCAGCTACTCTCTTACCTCATATTCACCTTATATAGCAGAACTTCTTGTGGAATCCAATGTGGAGCTGATAGCAAAGAATGACTTGCGCTTTATCGATACTGTCTATAAGGTATTTTGAGTTTATGAAACAATAATTATTTTAAAAGTCTGATGGTATTTTAAGGTTGTGTAAATAATAATTCCTTAAATATGTGTAGCACATGACAAGTACTTTCTTACGCATTTATGCCATTTAACTCAGTCCCTATTGCAATCAAGATGTTATTCATATTTTAATAAATGTGACAACTGGTAGATTTTGTTACTAGTTATTTGCCCTTTTAGATTAAATTTTCGTAAAATTTAGTCTACTGGAAAAAGTTGGAAAGAAATATGATTATAACGATTAGAGTTTGTTATCCATAAAATTATGAATTACTTTAGCTGTGTATAAGGAGGAACAGCAGCTTTGACTGAGATATTCTGTTCCTTGGGGCCTAACACCATATTTATATCTACTGTAGTATCAACATCTATATACTATCTGTATATTGATTAATTTTATTTTATTTTGAAAAACCCTACTTGCTGTCATTAATTTTTGTTCAAATATTTTGGATAATATTTTTTTAATAATTTTTTAAATAATAAAGCCCATTTATCAAATCAGATCTTTTTTGTTGTTGTTGTTGAGAGTTGCATTTGACAGAATAAGAGTTTTTATATACAGAGTCTCTGCTTAATCTTCCCTTTCTTTGTCTCTCACCTTAGAAAGCTTCCATGGAAGCTAAGAGGCACTTCTAAGAAATCTTAGAACTCCACAGAGTAGGTTTTGAGAATTACTAGTGTAGTCTAGTTCTCTCATTATACAAATGAGAAATTGAAACACAGAGGCCTACTGATTTATCTAAAAATCAGGTGATGAAGAATTATAAAAAATTTATAAACCACTGTGGCTATGACAGCTGGTATGGTATTCTGGGATCCTTTCATCTGAAGGGTGCTAAGGAGTACCTCTGAGGATATTTGAGCTGTTTGATGAGCTGCTTTTCCCTACCCTCTGAACAATCCTCCGTGCTGTGGTACATGCCTCGTGCCTGTTTCTGCCTGGTCGCCTTTCCTACGTGTTCATGACCCACACCATTCCTGACGATCTCTTTAATGCCCTTTGGTTAGTGAATTGATCCTCCTCTCCTCTTAAAGACGGCATTGTACCCCTGACCACATGGCTGCTTTGGAATTTAGGGAAAACATTGCTTCTTTTTATATTGATCTGTTCCCTCTTTACAGCTTCTTCGTGATCAATTTAATTATAAACCAATCTTGACAAAAAAGCAGTTTCTCCAGTGTGGATTTGCAGAATGGAAAATCCAAATTGTTTGTGACATTCTGAATTGTGTGATGAAAAAGCACAAGGAGTTGTGTGGTCTGGAGAAGGTAATTTTATGAATAGATCTTACTGGCAGCTCTTGCTAATAGGTAGCCCAGCATTTTAATGTACAACATCAATACCCTAGACAACAATTAACATGTAGTACACTTGCTGCTTCTTCACAGGTATGGGTAACCTTATAATGCCTGATATTTGTTTTAAATGTGCTTAAACTTGTTTTTGCACATTTTTGATTTGGACTTACTTCTCCTAGACAATTAAAACATGATACATGTTTATTACTTCTTAGTTTCAAGACATGTAGTTCACTAGGTTCTCGTTATTTGGCAGTTATATTTCACATAAGAAAATTTTAGTTTTTCACATGAAAATTTTAATGATAATAGAATCAAACTTGAAGACAAATTGTATTACTTCTTAATGCTTTTTTTTTTTTTTTAAGACTCCACTACAACAAAGAAAGAAAATCAATTTCAATAAACCAGAACCTTCTTCAAGCAGTGAGAAAATATCTACAGAACCTGTTGGCATTGACATCACTGGGAGGTTTTTGACTTCGGGAAAGGTAGGAAAGCACAATGTCATACAGTTTCAAGAGTTCTCTACCTGAGTATACAGAGTCCGCTTTTCTGACTGGCATCTGGTAAAACATCATACCACATATTGTCTGGAGAACATTCTTAAAAGTTCAAATGATAGAAGTATGAAATTGAATGAGCTTTCTCTTTTTATTTCTGATTGCTCCTCATTTCTCAAAAATAGTGATGATTTATGAAGGTTTTAATATGCAATCATGAATATTCTTAACTAGACACCCAACGTCCTAAAACATGGGAACATATGAAGATTCTATCATTAGTTGTAGTGATAGGTTTTATTGATTCATTTACGTACATTTGTATTTCCATTATCAGTGTGAATTATAATGCTTGATAGTCTCTAAATCTACAATCTGGGTTTGAGTTTATATTTTGAATATTTCCTCTTTGTTGATAGAGATCTTCTCCCCATTATCTGCTTCCAGCACCTGCACCTCTGAATCCAGTACGTTAGAAATACTTTCTCTATCTTCAAAGAAAATTGGTTCTAAAATATTATTTTATGATGATACTGTGCTTTCTACTGTCTTCCATCTGGGGTAAAACCCTTCTGAGATTTAAGGTTATAATGCTAGAGAAATAATCAGAGTGTAGTTAGATAAAGGATGTAATGGTTTCTGACTGAAGTGAACTCTAGCGAGTTATTTCTCCCCAATCCAGAATACATGTGTAAATAATCAGAATCTGTTAGAAAGATAGACGTTTATGCCTTTATGAAAAAATAGTGACATTTTACTGTATGGAATGATTTATGTCAATAACTCTTATTTAAGAATTACTTGAAGCCTGTTTTGCTTCAAGTAACGAGAATAAGGAAAGGATTGATTATAAGGGACATTTGTTCAAATGCCCAGAGTTATCTAACACTTGCACATCTGACTTATCTAATTCTTATTTTGAACAATTTTATTTTCTAATTGTTAGGTCATTTATATTATATTTTGCATCCTTCCTTACCTCTAATACGTATAATAAGGAAGTTTCCTATATTGTTTTTTTTCTGCTTTCATTGTTCTTAGCACAGAACTAGGCACACTGTAAGCATTTATTAAACCTCAGTTGATACAACTACATGTATTTTTCAGTCATCTTTTTCAGTATGGGGGTTGAGGGATATTCTAAATTGTACTAACAAAGAAAGAAGCTAAATTTCAAGACATTACTCTTGCTCTTTTCCCTTAAAACAAAATTTAATCTATTACATCTAATTTCTAAATATCAGAAATTTGATTAAACATTAAAAGTATTTCAGTTTAGAAAAGTTGGAGTCTCTTGGCAAAAAAATTGTTTGCTTTCCCAGTGCTACTTGTGACTTGCCCGTCATACATGTTGAGTCCTTATACCACATGCACAAACTCTCTACAGAAAAGCAAGTGGATGGAAGAGTCCTGCATAAATGCTTGGTTTGACCTTATGCTCAGGATTTTCTCGTTGTCAGTGTTAAGTTTGTTAGCCGAAGGTCTTATGCTATGTGATTTGTTTAATAGACAAAAATTGTGATAAGTCCTGCTCCTAGAGCCAGCTTGTGCTAGGAGACTTATTTGGTTACCTTTAAAAATAACTTTATTATGGAACATTTCAAACACAGAAGTACACATTACAATTCTAGCGATTTATCAACGCTTGCTTTGCTAATCTTGTTTCGTCATTATTGAAACAATTTTCAGCATCTTTCCCTGCAAATCTGAAAACATGTTGAAACAGACATCACTAAATAGATATTTCAAAATTTTTCTATAGTCACGCTCTTAAAAATCATAACCACACTTTCATTATCACACAAAATATTAATAATAGTGCATAGTGTTTGATGTATACAATGTATGTGATGATTTCAAGATGTTCCTTTTGCAAACATAGTATGTGTACATTGAAAATAGTTGTGTGAGGAGACATTGAAGCAACTCTGACAAACTTTTCTCTTGTCTAGACGAAAGCTGTGGTGATCCGTCACCTGTATAACGAAGATGGTGTTAACATCCCTGAGGACACATCAAGTACGATAACAGATGTTAATGAAGGGTTTGAGGTGTGCGACGTAAAGCCTGCTGAAATAAAGATTCCTGAAATAAAGGTCCCTGAAATTGAGACTGAGCAACAAGTAAGTCTGAGTAGCAAATAAGCAACAAGTTAAAGGATTTCTTAACAGATAACAGTATTTCTTACTTTTATGGACATGATTATTTCAGTATTTAAAATTTGGACTATTGCTAGCCTTTTGAAGTATTAAATCATGACATATTATCTTTGTTACAAGAACTTAAGAATCAAGAAGTTTTACTGACTGTAATTCAACGGACATTATTTGCTGCTTATGTTTAGGGTCCTAGTTCAACGTTATGGGTACTTCAAAGATGTATATCATAGTGTTTGGCTTCAGGGAATTTACAATTTAGTGAGAGTGATGGAGATATAATACTCGGTACATTGAGGGTTCTCTGTCACCTACTCCCTCTATTGTTGAATGGAAAATTGGTTCCCCATTGCCTTTTCATTTCCTTTTTTGAGCCCACGCTATCCTTTTCTTTCCCTCTCAGAATACCTTTGCTATTACTTTATTGCCACCGATCCCACTAGAGGTTAGTCTCTGCAGCTTCTGCTCTGACTCCTTTTTCTGTCTTCTGGGTTGTGTGACTTCTATACATGTTTATACACTTGGCATTCATAAAACCTGTCAGATATCATGAACCTTATTTCCTGTTTCTAGGAAATTGCATAATCTCAATCCATTGCCATTTTTCTTGGTCATTTCTTCTTAGTTTTGCTTGAGGGGCTGTTCCCAGAAGTTAGTGATAGTTTCCTCATATTACCTGGTATTGTCCTAAGAGCTTTATGCTAGAACACGAACCATATGGAGTAGGTACTGTTGGTACCTTATGGTTCTCTTAGATGCAGAAATTGAAACAATGGGGTCTTAACGTTTCAGATAAGCAAGTAGTGAGAGTGTCAAAGCATTTCTGTCTCCAGAGACAACGAAACCTAACTGCCTCCAGCAAAACTTACCTCTCATGTTGTGCTGTCTTTTGTAACTACTGCAGTAAAACAAAGGAAATGGGAATACATTGATTTGTAAAGAAATTTCAGCCTGCATGTTATTATTTGTAATCCTTCTAATTTTAGGACATAAAAGTTAATCCTGAGATTGCTGCACTCCAGACTGTGCTTGCAGAATGCCAAGAGAAGCTTAAGAGACTGAGTTGGCTAGAAAGTAGATTAGATTCTTTGGAGGAGAAAATGAAAGGGAAAGTGATGGTAAATGAAAAATCCTGGACTAATCTTCTGAGTCGTATTACTCTTCTTGAAACAGAATTGCTTTTGTCTAAAAAGGTATTTTCTTTCTTTACATTTATAGATAGCTCATAGATATCTATAAATACAATGTAGTATTTCTTTTATTCATTATTATCTGTTTTCTAAACACTAAATAAGAGAATATTTAGGTCATAGGGAAATGTTTTGTTGGAATGAAGTCCTATATAGGTAACACCCCTTTTTATTGTTGTAACTGTTGGTCTCTTCAGCAGATAAGATCATCTGACAAAACTGTAAATTGAGCTTAAAAGCTGTTAATACTTGAAGTACTTGTTTATGAAAAGCTTGAAATTATTTTATAGTCTTCAAAAACACAAATGATGTGTTTCTATAAGGAAAAGTTGGCAAGAGGGAAAAAATTTTAATTTTTTTCATTCATTTACTTCAATCAGATTACAAATTTCATGGGAACAGTTACCAAATTTATCATTACCTTGTCAAATCTGAAAAATGTGTTTCTTGATTTGTTAGGGTTTCAATTTCTGGTCCTGCTCTTTCTTTCCTTCCTAGAAGTAAAGTTAGTAGATCTAAAAAGCTCATGTCTTCTCCCACATTGAAAAGATTATTTCTCATACATACAGGGATATTTCTGTATTGATTTTATAAATAAAATAGTGAAAAATATTTAAACATTTATCATACTATTTTTATATTTTATGTTTAGCAGTAAGAGTATAAAACGAGAACAATTTTCATTTCATTTCATTCTAACTTTTAAATTATATTATTTCAGAATGATAAATCTATAGAACTTAATGAGACGAGTGGAGACTATGTTTTCAGTTGTGACATCAAAAATCTGAATCCTGGTAAGTTTTTATGCTGTTGGTTGTTTGGTAAGGAGTTTTCAGAGAAGTGATTTTTATTAGTATTCTGATATTCCCAAGCCTTATTTTTTTAGAAACTGAAAAACATCTCGGAACAAAGAAAATGTTGACTTCTAGACTAATGAAGCCAAGGATTGCTAAGGACACCAGCCTACATATCTTACATGATACAGTGGTTGAATAAATTCCAGTATACAAAGTTACATATTTTTGGAGTGCTTTTACTCTTTTTTTTAATGCATGAAAGATCTGGGGTGTAGGCCAGAGGTGTTGGGGGGTGGTGCGATGGTGAGAGACAGTGGGAAGCAGAACAGGTGAAATACACTGCTGAGGGGAGCAGTGGGTAAGGCAGGAGAGGTCTGCTGCACCATTTGGGTCAGCTCCCTGGCCGGGGATCGAACTCATGCTGCAGTGGCTGGCAATAGCTTGTTAGTGCTCAGACTTTAATCCCTCTGCCACCAGGGAGGCCCCACTGTTTCTCTTTTAATTGCTAAGTGCTCTAGAATAATAAAAATGATTTCCAAAGTTTGGTAGCTTTCACTTATGTAAGTAATATATGTAAGAAAAGACAAACACACTTGTCAATAGTGTAAGATATTACAAAACTCTTGCATTTGAGCAATTCACTAATGATAAAATGAGAAGCATCTAAAATTAGTCTGTACTAAAGTCTCAGGAAAGCAATTGGAAAAATTGTCCACAGAAAGTAATATGCATTTAACTGAACCTGCTGTTGAATGTGGCTGGTGTTCTTTCCATGATCCATGCTGAACGAATGTCCCCCCCACCACCCCCAGCCTGCAAGACACCAGCTTTCTCCCACCATGAAGTTCCCCCTCCAGCAGGCTAATGGACACCTCAGAGTCTGAGTTCCCAAGGCAGGGCAGGGAGAGCCATTGCTTCACCTTCCATCCTGTCTTCCCAGTTCCTGTTTTTCTCTGAACACCCGAAGATGTTCATTATCTCCAGGAGACACCCATCTCTGTAAAGAATAACCCAAGATTGGGCATAGTGGCTCTAGTTGCTGCCTACTTTCAAATTATTTCTTAAAATTATCATTGCACAAAACCCATGGATGAAAGAACTGGGTATAGCTAGTCCTCAAGTTGTGCCAGGTGATTTTGACCCTCGAGCTCAGCTAATGGATCACCTAATGTAGGGAACTCTAATGGAGAGAGAAGAGCCAAATCGTTTTCTCTCCTTTAGAAATTTGGAATTAGGACATCAAGTGTGAGTCAGTCAAATGATGTTGAGCCTGCACTTGGCTGGCCGTTTTGGCCGAGGTGACATTGATGTGTTACAAAGGAAGGGAACAGGGAGCAAAGAGGCAAGAGTAGACAAAAGAGACTGGCTCCACTAGCCATGAAAACAAAAGCCTTTCGAGTGGTTTTAGTCCTCATGTGGTAATACTTTGTTCCCTAATTGAGGCTGTCTGGGTAGACTTCACACAATACAACTGTCTTTATGCTAACCTGCCTAAATGGGTGTATGATTTTCTTTTTCTACCTTTTTGTGTTTTTTTTGTTTTTGTTTTTGTTTTTTGCAGCCAAGTGTACTGTGAGTAAAAGGACTTAGGGGTAGTTCAGCAGGTGCATGCCTGTATGTTATTCAGTTGTAGGAAAGCTTTGCCATCATTTTGTGGAATGAATCGTATCAGGATACTGGAAATGGAAAGTTGTTCAATTCTTTAAAAAAGGAAATCTGTGTACCATGAATTTTAAGCATCTTTCCCCATATGCATCAACTCATTTCAAATAGAATGTTTCTTGATTTTAAAAAAGCATGTATTATCAGTTTTAGGAATATATTGCCACCCTTTTATGAAAAGAATATACATGAGGCAGTACCTTATATTTAAATATATTATTAACTTGTCCATTTATTCTGTTGATTGCTAGCATGATAAAGATATTACCTTTTATCATTTTTATTGGCTGATTTTTAACATCTGGCTCTCCATATGTGAGGCATTGACTTAAAGATTCATCTGTATCTGTACTAGTAGTCATTTTATATTAAAATAATCCATTTGTTTTTCTACCATCTTTTCATAATACTTCTTAGATAAATTGCCTTCTCTGTGAAAGGAAAAATTAACCTAAAAATTAATTTCTCTACAGACAAAAACTACGAGGGAAGACAAACAGACATGCCTCTGCCCCCTGGTTACGGTACACGCTCATCAGCGTCAACTGCCCGAAACTCGGCTCTTACTTACTGTGGCTTGAGAGATATTTCAGAGGTAAGGAAACCTGGCAGCTGCTTAGATAATTCTCTTTCTAGGTCAGGAGAACAAGACCACATTAGATTCAGTTGTAGATGCCATTGGCAAGAAAAATAGTGAAACTGCAAATCTTAATCTCTCTAAAAATTCTTTGTGATAAGTAAACAGTGCTTACTGCAGTGTTTTAGATTGTGTTTTATGTGTTCACAGTCCCTCTTTGGTAATGGTTTACTTTGAAAACTCTCCTGAATTTGTTGCTTTTTAAATTCAAGGAAACAACAATCCAGAGAATGGAAAGGATGAAAAAAATGTAAGTAACACAAAGGGGCAACAGAAATTCATTTCTCTGTGGGGAACTGTATTGGATTACAGGACATGTAGAATGTGCATGTGTGTTTCAAACCTTAAAGGTCTCACAATCAGGTGTGGAATTTCCTTCAGGACTCCGGTGGATAATAAATCCACTTATAGTTATGTGTTTGTAAGATGAGTCACTGTTTTGGTTTCCAGTAAGTGATGGTAAAACATTGTTGATGGAATTAATTATGAATTAAAGAGCGCAAAGATACTTTTGGGTTAATATAGTTAATCAAGAGTATATCATCTATTTTTGATAACTGATTTATCAAAATATTAAATAATATGTGTAGATTCATGGTTTGGAGACATTTTAAGTATTGTTAAAGTATCACTAGTCTTTTTCAGATAGTTATTAGTATGGTAATATTACAAATCACACTTTTCATCTATGCAAATATGAAATGATTTTTAAAGAGCAATGAAAAAAAGCAAAACGCAATGAAATTGTATAAGATTATTATGTAGCCTACTACTTTAAAAAACTATATATTTTTTTGAAGTTTGAAAAGTAACTGAAATAACTTAAACTCCAAGAATGAAAAAGACTCACAGTTGACTCTAGTTGTTTTTCCCCACCTCTGGCTATATTATTCTTAATTTATTAACATCAACTGTCCCTATAAATAAGAAAAAATTGAAACTTCTTTAAGATTCATAAGCACAATTTCAATAATCCTATGCCTCATGAATTATTAATATTATTTGTTACATTGCAGGTTTGAAGAAACTGCAGAGTTACTGAAATGTCCAAATTACCAATTATAATTGTCTGCATGAACTTCTCTAGGACTTTGGCTTCTGTATATGTATATTTTAAGGATTCTTGATATAATTTAATTGACCACAATATTTTTATTAAGAGTTTCAATTCCACTTGGTATATGAACCCTTTCCTTCAGGATTGAATAAATTCTTAAGTATTTTTGTGCTATGATTATACTACTTTACTCTGCTTTCCTTTCTTAGGAAAACGACATTTCTTTTACAGAGTGAAGTCATTAGAGCACTGTATTTCTGTGTTGACATTTGCTGGCAGTGTGCTGAGGAATATGTTTTTAAAGTACAGGCTGGAGGAGCGAGGTTTATGTCCCGTTGGAACCGTTCCAAGTGGGGCTTGCGTATTGTCCCCAGGAGGCTCGCGGACATACCCTCCTGCCACCTGTCCTGACGAACATGTTGCAGTGAAAAGTTGAAAATTAAATAAAACAAAATACAGCTATTTCCTGCTTAGTCAAAAAGCAGCAACACGTTTTCAGTTACCACCGAGGAAGGAAGGGTATGATTCTCCTTTTGTGTTTGGAAGCAGGTCAGAAAGTTCAGTGTGAAGAATGTGTTGAGTATTTTAGTGCTCCATCCGGTAACACCTTTTAAGACCAGCAGCTCGGACACAGATGGTGGCCGTCCAGTATTACAAGTCACAGGGAGGTTTTTTCACTAAATGATGTGAAGTTACATTTTTTTCTGGAGAGAGACAAAGTTTTAGATACAGTTAAATCAAGGGATAAAATGGAATTTGTTTTTAAATGTTTAGGTAAATTATTATTTTTTTTAAACGTTCCAAACATGTAATAATAGTAATCATGGGTAACTTCAATCTTGATTCCTTTATTTGGAAGGAAAAAGGAGAAGTAGTTTTTTTTTAAATTATTATATGGCTCTTCTGACTATATTTTATTTATTCGTCTATTTATGTTATATGTATAATTTTACATTTGTCACATATAAAATATTAATATTAAGTTATAATTCTGAGTAGAAGTAACTTTTAAAAAAGCATTTTTAGTATTCTAATACATATTTAGTCATTTGGCTTTAAAAATTATGAACATTTGAAATTAGCATAGAACCTTGAATTTAGTCGTTTCATTGTTTTTAGCACTAATGAATACAATTAACTTTATTTTTTTCAATTACAAAAATTAAAAAATCAAGAGAACAGTTATAAGTGAAAAACCAATTAACGTCTGAAATATCAGTACTAGCATGGAGTTACAGCCCCACCTTGTGGCTCATATGCCAGTATTTTGCCATTTATTAAAACATGATTTCCCCAAAAATACAATTATATATTTTTCCTTTTGAAAATCTCCATTTCTGTTATAGAAAGAAAACAATTTGAAATTTTCTGTGGAAAAGAATAAAAACTTGGTATTTTTCCTTTGTCTCTTTTATCCTTCTCCTTTTTTCTTTATAATCTTTTAGATGCCTTGAAACATTTCTGATACATATAGTGTGCAAAGTAGAAATATACGTTGAAAATATAGTAAAAGATGTCTTAAGTGGAAAAACAGCAACTAATAATCAGTTCATAATACCATCCACTTAGAATCTCATTCTTCAGAAATATAATAGTATACTGCTATATCGTACTCCTTTAGCAATCTAATATTTGGAAAGAAAGCAAGCAGATTTGACTTTGTTGAAGTCATGGAAGGGAAAGCCAAATGATTTAATATTCTAGCACTTTTAGAAATAGAAAAGTTTTCTCTCTTACACACTTTGGTAAGTGGCCTGTAGCAATCAGCCAGCCCCTGGTGGTGACCTTGGAAGTCTTGAGAAAATGAGGAGGGACATCAAGTCTTGGCCAGATTATTTCCAGCTACATAATTAAACCCTTTGTTAACTGGAGTTTGCACTAAGTTGAACCCCTTAATTCTCCCATAAGCCATTACAAGGTATTTCTTTTACTACCAACAAAGGCATCAGAGCTTGTGCAGCTGTCTGCTGTTCCCCGGGAAAAGTCTGGCCCTAGGACTTGGGGACCAGGGGGAGTGTGCGTGTCCCGTCCTCGCCAGACAGAATGAAGACGTCACGTCAACGCCATGAGAATTCTAGCCAAATTTAAGAATTATTATGTCAGAAAAAGTAGTTTTATCTACCTGTATATCATTTGTTTTGTGTGTGTGTGTGTGTTTTACTCTCGCATTTTTAATGTTTTAACATGTGACATATTCCTTGAAAAATAAAACTTACGACTTTGGAACTGTGTTTTTGCCACTCATTACTCACAGCTTTATGTAATTGACAGGCGCTCAGGGAGGTAATAAAAGTAAAAGGACCTTGTTGGTTTTATAAACTACAACACTTTTTGAACTCAAAAAACATCATAGATTTTATTTTTACTTTTTAACTACGTTTGTAGAGAAGGTGAAGAGGTGGTGGTACTGGGAAACGAAAATTAAACTACAAAATTAAAACTTAATTATTGTGTTGAGTGACTCTTAATGTTTCTAGTGAAAACCGCAGGTTTCTTAACTATTCAGAGTGAAAAAAACCTTTGGAAGGCAGCACTGACAGCAGCAGCAGCACTGAGAACGTGCAGATTTATTTGGGGGTAGGGGATTTTTGAAACCCATTTTCGTATTATCATGGTTTTATTTATATCGAATACTTGTAGGAACAGGGACTATTAGTGTATCTTATTTTTCTCTTTGAAGTGCACCAAATCACTAATACATTTTTTATTTAATTTTTTAAATATAAAATGTTCAACTCAACATTTTAAAATTAAGAAGACTTATTCAATAAGTATCCCAAAGGTGTGATTTTTTTAAACTTTATCTTAAGAAAAAGTGAGGATCACAATCTTAATTACCCAGGAAATTTGAACAGTGGAAATTAGAGGGGTGGGAATGCTGATTTTTTTTTTTTTTTAAAGATTTACTTATTTATGCATACAATAGCTGGGGCACAGGCCAGGGGTGCGGGGCGGGGGTTGAGAGGATTCACCAGAGACAGAGTAGGGAGCAGACCAGGCAGATCTACTCAAATACACTGTTGAGGGGAGCAGCAGGCGAGACAGGAGAGGTCTGCTGCTCCACGTGGGTAGCCCCTGGCCAGGGATAGAACTCTTGTTGCAGTGGCTGCCAATAGCTTGATAGTGCTGTGTCTTTAACCCCTGTGCTACTAGGGAGGCGAATTTCCCCCCATTTTTTTTTTAAAGATTATTTATTTATACAAGCACTGGGTACAGTCGGAAGCATGAGAGGGTGAGAGAATTCACCAGAACCAGAGCGGGGAGCAGAGCAGGCAGAAGGACCGAAGTACACTGCTGAGGGGAGCAGCGGGCGGCAGGAGAGGTCTGCGCGCCATTGGGACCCTCACCCGGTGGCTGGGGAGCAGCCGGGGTTCGAACCAGCGCTGCAGAGGCTGTGGGCAGCTTCGCAACCCAGCGCTCAACCGCTGCGCCACTGGGGAGGCCCCCCAAAATTTTTTAATGGGCAGCAAAGTCTTCCCTGAGTCAGTAATTTGAAGTGAAGTGAATTCAGATGTGAGTTGATTTACCTTTTATAACTCATTCTACTTATTCCCAAATAACTGATTTGACAGAAGTGCAGAAAACCCAAATGTATAAGAAGCTTGGTCTTTTAGGGAAAAGGAAATTTCCTTTTCTTCCACAGTAGCTATAAGAAACGACTTTCCTGATTGAGGATGTCACAGTTATTTGTGCCTTGGTTTCTGCCACAAGAAACCTAAAGAGGAAGCTAAGATCTCTGAAGTTACCATGGTGATACAGTTGTCTGAAACGCTGGAGGACATGTCTTGCAAAGCCACACTCCCTATGGCATTTTCTACTGCATGAACCAATATATTGTCATTATTCAAGACCTAAGGCATATAATGAGGTACCTAGAAAATTGCATCTAACTTTTAAATAACATCAGACTTATTTCAGCAATTCTTTTCTCATGGCAAAGAAAAACTATTCAATACATTTGATTGTTTAACCATAATATATCAACTCGAGCTAGGTAAATTCTACAAAATAGGTGTCAATTGTTCTTCCTACACCCAAACTATGAATTAACAGTATACATTAAAATGGTCTTTGAATTGTTTTAAATAGTCTGAAAGCTTATTTTTTTTCTCTTTAAATAATAAATTTTATTTTTATATTCCCCATACAATTGCAACCCCCCCATTCTGATCCCATTCCCTCCCCTCCCGCACCCCAGCCGCCCAAAAGTGTCTCTGTTTCATAGTTTTTTGTTGATTCTGATTTTCACTTTCTTATAGTTATTCATTTTCCTGGTCCCTTATTTAAGTTTTCTAGATTCCTGCTATGAGTGAGACCATCCGGTATTTTTCTTTTTCTTCTTGGCTTATGAAAGCTTATTTTTTTTCTCTTTTTAGTTCATGTTTGTTTTATCGCTATACCACATAAGAGAAATTATATGGTGTTTTCTGTCGGATTTACCTCACTAAGCGTAATTCCCTCCAGGTTCATCCATGTTGTATATGGCAGGGTTTCATCTTATTTAAAGCTGTGTAGTCTTCTTTATCCCTTTGTCAATTGATGGGCCCTGGCTGTTTCCAGTTCTTGCCTGTTGTAAATAGTGTTGCAGTGAATATGGGGATACACACACACACATTGTATACATATATATGGGGGATGCATACACACACACACACATATATCTTTGAGTTACTGTTTTTGTATTTTTCAGGGTAAATACGCAGAAGTGGGATAATTAAATTGTATGGAATTCCTATTTTTTTAAAGATTTATGATTACAAGAATTGGGGTACAGGGTCTCCCCTGGTAGCACAGCGGTTGAACGCTGGGCTGTGAAGCTGCCCGCAGCCTCTGCAATGCCAGTTCGATCCCCGGCCACCGGCGAGGGTCCCACATGGCGCGACAGACCTCTCCTGTCTCGCCAGCTGCTCCCCTCAGCAGTGTATTTCGTTGGTCTGCCTGTTCTGTTCCCCACTCTGGCTCTGGTGAATTCTCTCACCCTCCCGTGCTTCTGACTGTACCCAGTGCTTGTACAAATAAATAAATAAATCTTTAAAAAAAATTAAAATTAAAAAAAAAGAATTGGGATACAGGCCAGTGGTGTGGGAGGGGAGAAGATTCACCAGAGTGGCGAACAGAACAGGAGGACCGACTGAGATACACTGCTGAGGGGAGCAGTGGGCGAGTCAGGAGAGGTCTGCTGCGCCATGTGGGCAGCTCCCTGGCCGGGGATCGAACTCAGAGGCTGAGGACAGCTTCACAGTGCTGCGCTCAACCCTTTGTGCCACCACGGAGGCCCAGGAATTCCTGTTTTTAACGTTTTAAGGAATCTCCACTGAGCTGGCCCATTTTCAGAACTGGTAAATGCTCATAGGGAAAAATTACTCTGAGACAATTTCTCTAAGGTTATTCTTATTTTGGTGATTTTAACTCCTCCGACCCTCATTACTTCTGCAACTCTAAAGTGCCTTGAAAATGGTGGCTACTTAATATTGTGTCTGGATTTCTTGGTTGTTTATGGCAGGAGTGTTGATTTGGTGCGATCTACTTTACCCTACCTTTGGAAGGGGAGGTCCCCAAATTCTATTGCTTAAACCAACACCTTTATAAACATTGTTTTCAATTCTGTCTACTCTGCAGCAGTAACACTGTGGATGTGTAACAAGTTAATTTTATAATACACTTCTTTAAGTTTAATAAAGCACAATTCTAAAAATGGTTTTTCACACCTGATAACAGAAAAATTGTGACAGATCATTAGTACTTAAGGTTAGGATGTGACAGAGTAAGTGACAGCTACACCTTCCCACTTCATTATTAGCAAGGCGGATCAGGTTGAGTAGGAAAATATACCTTTCTCCAGTAGGAAAGCACCTTTCTCCAGCAAAAAATTACACATTTTCATAAGAGTTAATAAAGTTAAGAAAACTTGCTAGCCCTCCC